AAAGCTGCACAATGGGATATATGTGCTCTACCCACCACGAGTATCGAAACCCGGTTTCTAGCATTGTAAGTCCGCAGACATATCGCTGTGCCACTAGGGGGCATTAACGAGAAGTAACAGTAACAATACTGTCATCCTCAGTACACAACATGATCACTGAAAATATTGGATGATTATAACACAATCTAGCATTTAGTTCAATTTGAGATCAGTTCTGATAATAATAATGGTTTCAGATGTCTCTGTAATTAAGTTGTAAAAGTTACGGAGTGATAAAATGTTTAGCTCATTAAACATCATGAAATAACCGTTGTTAAGCGTGATGTTTTGCACTTAAAATGTTCTTGTTCGTTAACAAGAAAGTAGATTTTAATTATAGTGTTAGTCTTGAAATATATCGTTAGTTAAAACAAAGGTGCGCGATATTTAGCGGCAATATGAGGCTTAACACTTTTACTACGTTATTAAGCTTAATATATACTTTTCAAATAATACAAAGAAACGTGACGTTTTCTTACCATTTTAACTCTTTAAATATATATATATATATATTAGTTTACAAAAGTTAATGCTTTATCATATTTGTTGAACTTATTGCGTATCTAAGTGACAAGTACAAATGTCATATTTATCTACAACGTCCGACTTAAAAGGCCCGGCATGGCCAGGTGGTTAAGGCACTCGACTCGCAATCTGCGGGTCGCGGGTTCGAATCCTCGTTCTACCAAAACATGCTCGCCCTTTCAGCCGTGGGGGCGTTATAATGTGACGGTAAATCCCACTATTCGTTGGTAAAAGAGTAGCCCAAGAGTTGGCGGTGGGTGGTGATGACTAGCTGCCTTCCCTCTAGTCTTACACTGCTAAATTAGGGACGGCTAGCGCAGATAGCCCTCGTGTAGCTTTGCGCGAAATTCAAAACAAAAACCGACTTAAAAAGTTTTTATTGTTTGTTAAATGTCATTTCAACAATACTGTTACTAAATTTTATCTATTGATTAATACAAACAAATATTTCAATAGTTACTATACTCGAAATACTACTGTTCTTTAGTAAACGTGTTTCTTACTTAAAAGTCAAGAGCTGTGTCTTCGTAGGTACTATTGCAGCTCTGTAACCCAGTAGCTAATTTATATGTTAAGTCAAGCTGTTTCACACTGTTTAGAAAATTATTTTTCTCTTTTGATCGAGATCCGCCTTATTCATTTTTCTGAATATTTTTGGTAACATTTACGTTGATGTTGCAATTTCGAAAATGCCTTCAAAAAAACTGTAATATTAAAACTTGTACTTAATGTTCACTCGTCAAACTATATTTCAATTGCATCAAGGCTGTGACGTTTAAATAGCGTTCATGAATGTATTACATAATTTTTCTTACACAAATATCACAGTGCAAGAAATATTTTACATAGTTTAGCGCAAATTAACTAAAATGTTAATGTTTTATTTAATTTCTGTAGTACATATAGGAGTACAAGAGATGTTTTAATTCTGGAAATAAATGACCTTATAACACCAAATTAAGTTATTTTTTTCTTCCATTTAATTTCACACTTTAAAGCTTTTTCATGAAAGTAACACTAACACACAAACCAACAGTACAAAGTTTCAATCGGTTTATATAAGAAAAGTTTCATATTAAATTTCATACTTCATTTAAAGGATATTAATAAACTTAGTTAGTGTTGAATAAATCTAGCTTCTAGTTCACTTACGATATTGTTTTACTATCAATAAACTTAGTTAGTGTTGAATAAATCTAGCGCTAGATTTATTCAACACTAACTTAGTTTATTGATAGTAAAACAATATCGTAAGTGAACTAGAAGCTAGATTTATTCAACACTAACTAAGTTTATTGATAGTAAAACAATATCGTAAGTGAACTAGAAGCTAGATTTATTTAACACTAACTAAGTTTATTGATAGTAAAACAATATCGTAAGTGAACTAGAAGCTAGATTTATTTAACACTAACTAAGTTTATTGATAGTAAAACAATATCGTAAGTGAACTAGAAGCTAGATTTATTCAACACTAACTAAGTTTATTGATAGTAAAACAATATCGTAAGTGAAGTAGAAGCCTAGTTCACTTACGATATTGTTTTATTATCTAAATAATACACAACAAAAGTTCTTTTCGATAGGATTCATCCTTAGTATTTAGAAAGGAACAGTTTCGAAGCACTCTCGCTTAGGCACATTTGAAAGTTTCTTCATATATTCTCTGCTAACATCAAACATATTATGTTAATGTATGGTTTTATATTTTGATAGCGCATGCGTCCAAATTACGTTAGGGTCACACGGCAGTATCGTCAAAAGTCAATAACTTTGTGCATGAACTGCATAATATGCATTTTCTTTATAATTTGATTGTCTATTTGTTTAACTAATGTGATTATATTAATACAAGTACTTGTACAAATAACGTGGACTTCTTTAAGAACTCACTGTAACACATGCTCAAATAATAGCAACATTATTTCTAATTACCAAAACATACAGCAATATTTTTCTTTGTTTCGTATTTTGGAATATTACCTTTCGTATTAGCTACAGAATTACATAAATCTGTCAAACTGGAATGACATGAAAACGTTGTGAACAAGTTTCTTCTCAAACCAACAGGTTTTATGTCTCGGAAGTTTGTTAAAGTGGCTTTCCAATCACAGAAATAAACTAAAATATATTATCATGTTAATCAAAGTAAAGAAAACGTTGTGAACAACGTTCTTCTCAAACCAACAGGTTTTATGTCTCGGAAGTTTGTTAAAGTGGCTTTTCAATCACAGAAATAAACTGAAATATATTATAATGTTAATTAAAGTAAAGAAAACGTTGTGAACAAGGTTCTTCTCAAACCAACAGGTTTTATGTTTCGGAAGTTTGTTAAAGTGGCTTTTCAATCACGGATATAAACTAAAATATATTATAATGTTAATTAAAGTAAAGAAAACGCTGTGAACAAGGTTCTTCTCAAACCAACAGGTTTTATGTTTCGGAAGTTTGTTAAAGTGGCTTTTCAATCACAGATATAAAGTAAAGAAAACGTTGTGAACAAGGTTCTTCTCAAACCAACAGGTTTTATGTTTCGGAAGTTTGTTAAAGTGGCTTTTCAATCACGG